GTAGGTGTAGATGAGCGTTTTTATGTGTTCGTGTGTGTATTAGTTGGTTTACGTACATGTATCTGTTCAAATGTGTCCATGTGGGTTCGTTTCTGTTTATATAAGTAAGTGTTCATACCTGAATGTGTATGTGCGTGTGCGTTCGTATACGCATATGTAAGTGTTTATATCTTGGTATTCTTATTGATATGTTCGTTTATATGAATACAAGTGTTTATACGTGTATTAGAGTATGTGCATTTGTAGGAATATCTGTCTGTTTCCCTTATCTTTGCCTATATCTCAGCCGCACTTTTCTGAAACATAGTATGCAGCCGCTGAGAGTCATTAAAACACACACACACACACACACACACACACACACACACACACACACACACACACACACACACACACACACACACACACACACACACACACACACACACACACAAAACGCACATACACTTATACACACACACGCACGTACACAAAACACACACACGCGTATCATATACACATCGCCCACACCTTGAGCAGTCGATGACACCAAGAACATATCCCTTAACACTCGATATTGTCTCTCTTTGATGAATATTCGATCTAATTAACTGGATTATCGTTTTAATTGGCTACCGGAAGCGCTGTCACTCAACATCCCCCCCGACAAGATTTGCATAAAATCTGCATATTCTGGATCTGTGTTTAATGAAACTGCGTTTCTTTGGCTTTTTTTCCGGGAGGTGGAGGAAAAAAAAGTTTGATTTTATCTCTTTTTTTCTCGTTGATTTTGTTATTATAATCACTTGTCGTTTATATAATTTTAAAATTAGTTTATAGTGTGTATAGTTGTTTCTAGTTAAATGATTTTTATCGTGATTTTTACCATGTTAGTATTCGTTTCATCGGTTCATTTTTAGTTTACATTATGTTATCTTACATTTACGATTGATGGTATTTGATCGTATATCTGTCATCATATCTACATAGTATATAATTACGCATATCTATATAGTATATCATCACTTTGGCTATTTTCTATGATTTAAAATACTTCTTTATCATGATACCTTTACAAAATCATAACTTGTCATTTTTTTCTGTATATTATTAATCACAATTACAAGAGTTGAGTTGTGGTAAAATATGCAAATTATCTGTCTAAAAAGATTTTTTAATTTTTTTTTAGTGGATTCAACACAAAATCATGAAGGGCTTAGACTAAACAAAGGATTAATGGGAGACTTTTTGACTTTGAAAATAAACTTGTCATCAACTTTTTCGAGTGATTGATAAAGATTTATTTTATTTTTCTTAAAGAATTTACTATTTATCCATAAACACATCAGGCTCTTTTAGGATAAAAAAAAATATTGTTTTGTGTTATTCCAGTAAATTGGTCGATATCCATTCGTTTAAAAGGATTTACCAGGGAGTATGGGAGAAAAATGGATTAATTGGGGTTTATCTAAATTATCAGGTTTCATTGGAAGTTCACCTCGTTTTGCTTAATTGATTAGCATTTATCTGGTTAAATTGGAATTTCTGCTTCATTCAATTTTCCAGCACACATATACACGCCCGCACACACGCAGACACTTACACACACACACACACACACACACACACACACACACACACACACACACACACACACACACACACACACACACACACACACACACACAGATGAATTAGAAGCAATCGAAAAATAAGACAGAGAGAAAGAAGACAGACAGACAAACAGATCAGAAAAAAGCATCAGGAGAAACGATTTCCACATTTTTTCCTCTTTTCCTGAAATTCTAGTTCCATCCCATTTTTTTTTCTTCCTTTTTTCCCCATCTCTCTTCGTGTTCTTTTGAAGATCTGCGAGTGTCTTCAAGATGGCGTCTGTCTTTCCCTTTGAAGGTTTTTCTATTCAGCTTTGATTCATCTTATTTTAATGCTCTCTTTTACTTTTTATCTCCTTTTTTTCCGTCTTCCATTTTTTTTGTTACCTCGGTTCTTTCTCCGTTCATTCTTTTCTTCTCTTTTTCTTTTATGTGTCTGTTTATTTTCTTTCTGGTTGTCTGTATGCATATCCGTGTCTGTTTTTTTTTTTCGTATCTTTATATTTCTCTTCTTAGGCTCGGTGTCAAGTTCATGTCATTCTTGTTATAAGAGAAAAATAAATTATTCATATTAACGTTTCGACAATTTTATTTTTATTACTCTTTCGTCCCCCTTTTTTCCTGAAAGTTTCGATCAACGAGTAGCAGTTTTTTTTTGCATTTTCCTTTTTGTTATGATGTTGATAGTGGCACTGTTATTTCTGAAGTAACTGTTGTTGTTATTATCGTTATTCTCGTGTTTATTCTTGTTCCTGTTCGTCGCGTCTCTTTCGCTTCCCTCGATGGTGGCTGCGGGAGAGCGATTTGCATTATTTGGTTATTCTTAAAGGTGGTGCTATCTTTAGACTGAGTGTTGCTGTTAATCTAACCATTGTTATCATTACTCGTGTTTCGCTAATTACTAACGACGCCCCTCCCTCCCCCCCTCAGATCGACGATGGCGGCGGCGCGGTCGGAGGCGTCGGGCAAGCTGCCGGCGCTGACGCGGAAGCTGCGCTACACGGGCCTGTTCACCTCGCAGATGGCGCCCACGTCGCGCGCCTACTGCATCCTGCTGAGCTTCTTCGTGGGCGTGCTCATGCTCACCGCCGGCTCCGTGTTCTACCACGTGATCCTGATCCGCCCCATGAGCGGCAGCCACCCCATGCACACGCCGCCGCTGCCGCTCGCCTGCGGCCTCATCCTCGCCGGCGCCGCCACCGTCCTCGGGTCCTTCTTCGTCGCCTGGAGGTGAGGCCGCCCTGCCTCTCTGCCAGTCGAGGCTCAGAAGGGGAACCTTACGTGGTCAAATTACAAAATTATAACTAACAACCAATGCTGAATCGTTTCTCCTTTATATATATATATATATATATATATATATATATATATATATATATATATATATATGTATATATATATGTATGTATATATATATATATATATATATATATATATATATATATATATATATATATATATACACACACACACACACACACACACACACACACACACACACACATACACATACACACACACACACACATACACACACACACACACACACACACACACACACACACACACACACACACACACACACACACACACACACACACACACACACAGATATGTATGTGTGTGTGTGTAAGTGTGTGTATATATGTGTGTATGTGTATGTATGTGTGTGTGTGTGTGTGTGTGTGTGTGTGTGTGTGTGTGTGTTTATATATATATATATATATATATATATATATATATATATATATATATATATATATATACATATATATATATATACACATATCTATGCGTATGTATATATGTATTTTATGTATGTATGTGTGTACACATATGTAAGTAAGTATATTTTCATATTCTATGGGAAGGGGTTTCATGAGATATATATATATAAAAACTCTTTCAAGGGTTCTCCAAGATGTATAAACTGGGATTCACAAATCTAATTGCTAATCCAACGTTACTGTTAGTTTTCCAATCATCTCTGTCTGTCTGACTATCTATTCGAGTCCGTTCCTTAGTTTATCTCTCTCTCTACCTCTCATTCACACAAATTTTTTTCTCGTTCTTTCAGTCATTCATTTATCCCTCAGTTTACCTTTATTTCTCTACTTCAATCTATCTCATTCTTTATCTACTTTTATTTTAGCTCCCTTTTTTATTTAAATTTTCCACTTCCTCTTTTTTCAGCTTTTACGAGGAATTTCCTTTTAAGTGTCAAGTTTAAGTGTCGTTAAACTGAATTATAGATCGTGAAAATGTCTCAAACTTTCTGTTAGGGACTGCGGGTCTAAAAAGTGTTTAAAAGGAAAAGAAAAAAACAAAAGCAATAGAAAATAAGAAGATAGAAAACTCTTCAGCTTATAAAAATCTAAAAAGGTGGCATAATTGTTTATATTTTGTTTGATTGTGTTTGTTTTGTCCTTATTTTTGTTTGGATTCTGGGGTTAGGGACTACGAGCCCTCTTCATCTCTTTAAAAAAAATGGAAGAGAGAAACGAAAAAAAGAAAATCAAAATCCAAAATGTATAATTCCTTTTTTTTCGTCATGTTCATTCTTCTTCTTTTTTATTATACATAAATATATATTCATCACGATCTTTTTTTTATATTAGGTACGGGTTTGACGACGGCGACGACAGCCTCGAGGACGATCTCTACTCCTTGGCCAAAGACGACGTCCTTGAACAGACCCACGAGCAGCAGCAGCAGCAGTGGCAGCAGCGTCAGCAGTGTCAGCAGAATCAGCAGCATCAACAGTGTCAGCAGACTCAGCAGTGTCTACAACATCAACAGTCTCAGCATCAGCAGTGCCAGCAACACCAGAAGAATCAACATCAGCAGTGCCAGCAACACCATAAGAGTCAGCACCAGCAGCACCAGCAATGTCAGCCCCATCATCATAGCCAGCATCAGCAGCAATACTGTGAGCAGCATCCTCGTCAGAAAGATGATCAGAAACAGTCTTCTCAGCAACAGCAGAAGACTGAGCAACAGAAGACTGAGAAACAGAGAACTCAGCAAGAGAGGACTCAGCAACAGAAAAACTACCACCACTTCCAACAGCACTACCACCACCACGAGTGTTGTCAGTCCGCTGCCAAGATTCCATCTGTGTGAACCAGCTTTTTTTTTATACTGATTTTTGATTCTTGAATTATATTTATTTTAGAAACCTATATGTATATATCCATTTTTTTCTTTCTTTATATCAATTCTTTATCTCCATTTATTTATCCGTGCTATTCTATTCTTAATTTTCACTGCCTTTCCTCCCCCTCTCTCTTTCTCTCTCTCTCTCCTTACTTTCTTTATTTTCATCCACCTTTCTTTTACTTTGTTCTCTCCTCGCTGGTTTTCTCTTTTAGTGAATGCGAAACTGAATAAATTATTTTTCGTACCAGA